TAATTGCGCTCTTTCTCTCTCTCTCTGTTGCTTTTTTTTAGATAAGGGGGAACTGTCTCCTTTTTCTTCATTTCTTTTTTCAGATTTAAAATTAGTGTATACTAATTGTTCAAAGGTGTTTCATTGTGATATTTCTATACATGCATATACTTTTTTATTGTTGGTGTCAGTTCAAAGGCTTGAACTCAGAGCCTTGTGCATGCTACGCAGGCACTCTACTGCTGAACCACACCTCCAGCACATGCACTGTACTTTGATAATACTCATCCCATCAGTTAGGAAGTGTGTCTCTTAGGTGGGGAAACCTTCTGAGATGGCATTATTAAGAGAGAGAAGTAGAAAGCCTCCTTTTGTCTCAGGAGCTGAGACAAGGGTAGAGGTTTTTCAGAAGTATCCTTCCCCTGGAGGCCAAGTGCAAGCAGAGGAGACACAGCACGTAGAAGTGAATTTTGCCTCTGGCTCAGCTGCGGTCTGCCCACAGGCCAGCCTGGCCAGTGCTGCTCTGGCCCCTTGCCTTTGTTCTTCTTTCCTCAGCTCCTCTAGCTCTGTATGACCTAGGAGCACAAGTTCTCAGGTCAGTACCCGAGGTAGGTCCTGAGGGGCAGGTTCCTGTGACTTTCAGGATTCTCTCCCTCCCCTGCTCCAGCCACTCCTGACTCTGTGCCTGGGCTGGGGACTCCCTTTTTTTTTCTCAGCCTTTGGACCACTCCATAGTAACCTTAGCAGGGACTCCTGTTAGAATCTTTAAGGGTTTTGAATAGGACTTTATTCACATGGTTTAAAAATATTGAAGTCTATAAGAAAGTGGAAGATTTCCTTTTCCTATATCCCAGAGGCCTAGCTCCTATCCTTTGCTCTTCAAGTTGAGTATTGTAATAGCCGTTGCTTATTGGGTATCTCTCCTCTCCCCTCCCCTCCCCTCCCTTCCCTTCTCCCCACCCTCCCCTTCTACCCTTCCTCTTTCCTCCCTATGTTCCTTTCCTCCTCTCCCCTTTTGTTTTCTTTGATCCCTCCTTTTCAGTGAAAAACTGTTATTCATATGCAGTGACCCTATCTCATAACATGCTCAGATAGAAACAAGACAAGGTTTTCCCATTCAGGGCAACAGAATCCTCCTCCTCTTCCTCTTCCTTCTCCTCCTCCTCTTCCTCTTTCTCCTCCTCCTCTTCCTTCCTCCTCCTTCTTCCTCCTCCTCCTTCCCTTCCTTCCTCCTCCTCTTCCTCCTCCTTCTTCTTTCTCCCTCTCTCCCTCCCCCCCACTCTCTCTCTCAGCAGGATTAGGTTTGAGCTCAGTACTTGGCAGATGCTCTACACCATTTGAGACAGCCTCAGCCTAATAAAATCTTGACTTAAGTGATCAGATAGGTCTTTCTATTCAAATAACTCTACATAGCAATGCCTAACTGGGTATGGTGGTGTATGACATAATCCCAGCATTCAAAAGACTGAGACATAATGATCTTAAGTTGGGTGCCAGTCTGGGCTACACAGAGATTTCAAGATTAGCCTGGACTAAAAACAAAGGAGGCAACAATGCTTGATAAAAAATGTACTCATTACCTTGCTCATGTGATTGTAACCCCTCTGTACAATATTTTCACAATAAAAAGCTTATTTTAAACAAACAAACAAAAACCATAACTGTGTTATACAGAAAAGAAAAGGGCAAAAAAAAAAGAAAAAAGAAAGAAAAGGGCCAGTGGAGATCAGAATTGAGGGAAGGACAAATAAGTGGTTCTGTTATATCTGGTCATAATCCATCACACTAAAAGCAACTAAAGCAGGTTCTGACTTCTGTGTCTAGTTCTCCTCACTAAGAACTATTCATTCTGTTTCAGTTTTTATTTTTGTTTTGTCAGTCATGAGGCTTGAACTCGGCCTGGGTGTTGTCCCTGATCTCTTTTGCTCAAAGCTAGTGCTCTACCACTTTGAGCTACAGCACCACTTCTGGTTTTCTAGTAGTTAATTGGAGATAAGAGTCTTGAGGATGTTCCTGCCCAGGCTGGCTTTGAACTCAGCCTCCTGAGTAAAGGCTGGATTACCAGCATGAGCCACCACCCTACTCATTTTTATCTGTCACCATCTTGTCACTCTGATCTGCTTGTTTCTAGCCTCAGAGTCCTTTTGCTAAGTCTTTGTGACAGTAGTGGCTTCAAGTCTGCTCTTAGCTTTTGATCCTTTAGCACCTGATTCTGCCAAATGCTTTGCCTTCCTGTCACCATGCGTGGCTTACTGTAGCCCTTGCCTGCGAGGTGAGGGGGCTGCACTTACCTCACTGTGGGTTATGTTTTCTGTCCTCATAGCAGTTGCAGAAAACTTCTTGGATCCTCCTGCTGGGCAGCATCATAACACTCCCTGGGTACCACTACAGGTATCCCAGGGTGATCGCCATATCCAGCCTCAACTCATGATGATTGCAGAGGTTTAGATCCCACTTCCTTGTCTCTCTAGGAAATGGCTCTCCTTTTTAATCTTGATGGGCTCGCCTTCCCATTGATCTTCTTTCTCTTTCCTATTCTCCTGCAGCATCTTCATGAACATGGGGTTTCTCAGCCTGGGTTCCTCAGAGCACCCATACCACAGCATGTTATTTGATCTCAGAACTATGGTTAGCTGCCCAGCATTGCGCGTCCCCAGGATATCCTCAGGAAGTTCTGCCCTAAGGAGCCCTTACCAGGCCTCTTAAATTTCTCTCACAAGCTCAGCTTCTTCATTTGTGCTCTGGAGATTTCCCAGTGGCCACAGAGGAGGTAGGCGTTAGGAGAACTGTGTTTCTCCCATGGCCAGAGGCAGCCTCCATCCATTTGCGTCTGTCCACCGGGCTTGTTTTCTGTTCTGAAGATGCTTCTGTCTCTGACCTTGAATTTGTTGACCCAAAGCCAGAACTTTGAGTCAATGAATGACCCACACTCAGTCCAATAACCTTTCTTTTTGGTGGTAATAGGGTTTGAACTCAGAGCTTTATACTTTCTAGAAAGTCTCTTGTTTGAGCCATGCCTCCAAATCTTTATTCACGCGGATTATTTTTGAGACAACGTCTTGTTCTTTCCCATTCTAGTTTAGACCATAATCCCGCCATTTATGCTTCTTCTGTAGATATGGTAGTGGTTGTTTGCTCATGGCTCTGTCCAGCATTTGGGTGAGATGGGGCCTCTGTGAACTTCTTGCCTGAGCTAGCCTGGCCCGTGATCTTTTCAGCCTCATGAGTATCTAGAATTACAAATGTGACCCCCCCTCCCCCAATGCCAGACTTAGCCCATTGACTTTTGATGGAGACCTGCCTGCCCTTGTCGAGGAGAATTCTGGTAGGTTTTCATTAAAAGGAATCTCAAAACAAAGCATAGACCACTGGATGTATTTTAAGTTGTAGGAAAAGGGAGGTATTTTATTGATTCACACCTTCAGCTTTCTAGGGCTCTTTCTGGAAGTTAGAATGCGAATGTTTCTGTCTTCTGGCTCAGCATTCTTGATCTGTATTCCATACAGAGTAGCTTTCTCATCAGTACTGGCTCCCTAGCCTTCAGTGGGATTGTGGGCATGTTTGGGGGAGGTAATCCAATGAAGGCTGTGAAAAGTTTGAGTATTCTCCTTAATAGCCGCAGCCAGTGGGAGGAGCGAATGAGATCATGAGAAGCCATCGAGAGTTCACTCCCTGGGGAGCTGACTGGTTCTCAGGAGCCAGTTATTCTTGTTTTTAGCTTCCTCTACTGGTCTGAGTCAAATTAAACAGCGGCAGTAATGACCCCATTATTTGTCATAGGGAGAAGAAATCTGGTGCCAAACTCTTATTTATTTTTCATTTTAATTTTTCTTAGCACTTAAAACTCTTTGAAATTATCTTGAGCCAGGCATCAGAGGCTCATGCCTATAATCTTAGCTACTCAGAAGGCTAAGATCAGGAGGATTGCGGTTTGAAGCCAGTCATAAAAGTTCATGAGATTCTATCACCAAACTAACCAGCAAAAAACAGGGCTGGAGGCATGGATCAAGTGGGCAAGCAAGCCCAACAAACAAGCTCCGGGACCAATAAACACAAACAAGAAATTGCCTTGTGTCAAGCTGGTCCCTTCAAGAACAGAACTCTGAAAGCAGAAATATTGTTAATCTTCTCCCTTGTTCTCCCACTGATAGGGAGATGTGTAGCATGTAGAGATTTGCTAAGTCGATGTCTGTCATTGGACACATAGACTCTCTACTCTCGGGTAGTCCCCTTTGAAGACTACGTCTGCCTGTTCACAGTGAGTGGTCAAGTGGAGTTTCAGGTCTGAGTGTCTGTGTGATTTAGAGAAGGGACAAAGGTATGGAATAAAATGTTCAGTTTGCTTAAAATCTGGGTTTGAGTCATGACTCTGTCATTACTTAGTTGTAAAACTTCTCTGAGCCTTAATTTCTTGATCTGTACAGGATGAATAATAATTTTACCCTTAGACCCTTCCCCATCTCATTCCCCTCCTGACTTACTTTAAATCCTTGGTTGAATAATGTGTGAAAATTGCTTTTTAATGTATAAGATGCTTTGCAAATGGGAAGAACTTCAAAATAAATTTCTATCCTTTGCATTAAAAAAATTACTTTGGTAAGCTATCTTTGCCGTCATTATTATCCTTTTGCCCGGTGGAACACAGTGTGTTTAAACACAAAATTTCCAATAAAAATGCCATACTTTGCATTTTTTGGTTTTTATTGCCTCCTTCTTCTTCCTTCCTCTTCTCTTTCTTCTCCTTTTTCTTCTTCACACAAAGCCAGTCTTGGTCAATTCTGTTAGCACTAGGAGTTCCAGCATTTGCCTTCTAAGCACAAAATGAGGAACAGCTCTTTCTCTAGGATCTCCATCCCTGAGATGACACTGGGCAGGGGTGTTAGCAGGATGTAGGAGGGTGCACACCCTCTTTAGGTCTGGCCTCCCCATGCTGCTGGTGAGCGCCTGTCAGCACCCATGGGGAACTTGTCACCACAACCCCTGGCCACCAAGGGCTGCCTGACATATTTCTCTCTCCCTAGGCGACTGCTGAAGAGTGAACTAGGATCATTCATCTCAGACTATTTCCAGGTAAGCTGTGTGGGTCTAAGCATCCATTGTTATCATGTGGAGGTTGGGGCACAGGTACCCAAGGGGCTGGAGATGTGGACACCTGGATGTTCCTCTAACACTTGCTGTAGTGCTGAGTAGGCTGCAAGGGTCCCTAGAAGAATGTGGCCCCTGGGGTTAGAGAGGCAACTGTCATGGCTTTTGGTTTCAAGACCCCTTTATATTCTTAAATATTATTGCTTCTCTGAGTTATATCTCTTTTCACCTTATTAGAAATGAAGTTGCACCAGGCACTGATGACTCACTCCTGTAATCCTAGCTACTCAGGAGGCTGAGATCTGAGGATAGCAGTTCAAAGCCAGCCTGTGCAGGAAAGTCCGTCAGACTCTTTTTTTTTAATTATTATTTTTATATTTTGGGGGCGGAGTCCAGTCATGGGGCCTGAACTCTGGGCCTGGGCGCTGTCCCTCAGTTCTTCAGCTCAAGGCTAACGCTCTACCACTTGAGCCACAGTGTCACTTCTGGCTTTTTCTTTTTGCTTATGTGGTGCTGAGGAATCGAACCCAGGGCCTCAGGCATGCAAGGCAAGCGCTGTACCACTGAGCCACCTTCCCAGCCCCGTCCGTAAGACTCTTATCTCCAATAAACCACCAGAAAACCAGAAGTGGTGCTGTGGCTCAAGTGGTAGAGTGCTAGCTCTTTTGCTGAAGAGCTCAGGGACAGTGCCCAAGCCTAGAGTTCAAGCCCCATGACTGACAAAAAAAAAAAGAGAAAGAAAAAGAAATGAAGTCGTAGCAATTGGTGGTAGGGCTACTGATGTTTTGCGTGTATTCTAAGCACAAAGGACTTGGTAACGGGCTACTAATGCATCTGGACAGATGAACCGATCCTGATGTCAACCTAAGCTCTGGTCACCATTGCGTATAAATACGTGTTTCATAAGAAATATAAATTCCTCACTTAAGTTTTCAGGTTTTAGAACCATAGCTACCATCTTTGAACATCATACATGTTTGTTGATGGCTTTTTATGCATATAAATGCAGTGATCTATGGCTTAAAATGTTTGTTTTTATGGCAATGTTTGTTATTCTAGCCAATTGGTATTTCTAGGAAAATGGAGCATGTAATTGTTCTTTATGTTCAGGAACTGTCCCTTGCTAAACCTCAGTCACTGATTTGTCCTAAGATGACTTGTAAAAACTAAAATGCAGTGATTCGGGGCTGGGAAGATGGCTCAGTGGTAGAATGCTTGCCTTGCATGCATGAGGCCCTCATAAGCACCACATAAGCAAAAAGAAAAAAGCTGGAAGTGGTGCTGTGGCTCAAGTGGTAGAGCGCTAGCCTTGAGCTGAAGAGCTGAGGGACAGCGCCCAGGCCCTGCGTTCAGGCCCCATGACTGGACCCCCCCCCCAAAAAAAATAATAAAATGCAGTGATTCAAGAGGAGCTGAAATTCCAAAAGGAAAGTTAAGAAGTTGAAGCTTCAAAATTCACTTAAATGTTAAACCTATTAATGGTAATAAAGCTAGTACTTTTATGAAAAAAAATAGCTGTGAGAATAAAGGATGATAACAAGACTAGAACTGTCTTATGTGTGTGCAAATCTCTCTGGCTGCTTCCTGGGGTAGCTGGCCAGCCTGTCTGCTTTATGTTCTGTCTGTGACACCATCCTACATTATATATTTTGGGACAGTGTCACTGCACAGGCTAGGAATGGCAAAAACAGCTCTCTTGGTATTACTGTGGAACTAGTTTTGGCCATGTGGATTTCTTGAAAAGACTGGGGATCTCCCCTGGCCACCCAGATCATGCTTGTTGCCATGAGTGCGTTTCCTCCCAGCCTTGTGTATGGTATATGATTGGGCTACTTTTACATACTCTGGAACCAAGTTATTCGTTCTTACAGAGCTTCCTAGTCTGTTCTGTTGAAGGATTGGATCTTCCCTCTAGCCTGTAGCTATGGTTACAGGACCACTGAGTTCAAGGTTCCTGGTCCATGTGTAGGAGTTACTAATCCTGACTTTCCTGACTCTAACAAAGGTGCGTGGGCAGGTGTTGGAGGACAGTGAGTAACTGACTGGCACTTCAACAAAGACAGGACCATGCTTTTTATTAGTCTGTTGAGTATGAAAGCTGCTTCAGTTTCCTCATCTGTAACTTTAGAATAAAAATGCTGTTTACCTTTATAAGGTTAGAAGGTATGGTTTACATGAGATAAGCCAGGTGAAGAACTCAGCACTAGTGTGCAAGACAGTGGAGGGTGGTTTGTGATCAAGGTTATGGGCCTTCAAGACAAGGAATCTGGATTCAGCGTCTGATTCTCTATGATGGGGATGATAGGACCTAACTGTGTATAGGTCGTTAGTGCAAGGGACTAGCAGGGGCTAAGCTAAGAAAAAGTAATAGGGTTTATTAAATTTAGGTGGGTTCCTATGTGTTATTCAAAAATGTCACCCAGCCCCCTTAATGGGGAAGTCACATAAAAATACATGATCTTGGTTTCAGTTAGGTTGTACTATTTTTTTTTATTTATTTTGTATTATCATTAAGTAGTTGTACAAAGGGGATTCAATTCAGCAGTTATATTATTTTATGGCCAAGTAGAGCATACTTTTAAGACAGTTTAAAGAGATTTTTTTGGTTTTAAAAACATAAATACTCTTGTATTATTATTTTTTTCCAAATTTTCCTCCCAAGTTTCAGGAAGCGTAAACCTTTATGAATACTTTAGAAGAATGGTAACTGTCAGTTACACACACACACACACACACACACACACACACACACACACACACACACACGGAAATAAAAGAAAATAAAAATTGAAAAGCTGCCCTCAAGCTGGGACCCTGGGATTCAGTGGGGTCAGATGTCTTAGCTTCTTGGAAGAAAGCTCTTATTCAGGGAGAAGAAACCTGAAGACTAAGAGAGAGATAATTAGTCACAAATAAAGATCAGGCTGACTCAAAGGTCAGCCTTGGGCTTGGCCTTCTCTCCTCCTCTGCCTTCTTGGTTGATTGATTTTTAAACCCAGCTACAGAGAAACACTTTTTCAATCAGGCCTTGAGACCCCCCCCCCCCCGGGCTGCCTTTCTTGATGACATTTGAAAGACACTGGGTTTGGTGTGGTTTCAATCAGGTTTTAAAATGTCAGCTGTCTGTTGGGGGCTAGGACAGTAGGAAGGGTGTGTTTGGGTGGGGACCCATTTCTATGGGAGGCCCTTGAGGTTTTCAGGGGCTGTTCATACTGTGTACAAAGCATGCCAGAGAACTTAAAAACTAATAACCACATCTGGCCTCTTATCAGAGGGGAAATCAGAGAAGCTGTTTGGTGATTATGACTCTTTTTATGAGGGTATAGTGTGGGGAATCTGGGGTTTTCTGTATTTAAGGTTCTAGATTGGAAAGAAGGCTCTTCTAGACAGTTTTGTAAAATATTGATTTTAGAATCATATAGGCACATGTTCTGTTCTTGCTGTTGCTTTGAACTAGTTGATTTCCTAGTCTGTGAAGAATACCAAGTAGATGTTCAGTTAACAGTCTTGGGAGTGCAGGAAAAATTGTTTACCACTGAAACTTGGATTGATTTTAGGTGACCCACACAAGGCATTAAATAGCATTAGGGGTCATGGAGACTTTTCTTTCTTTCTTTCTTTTTTTGGTAAGTTGTGGGGCCTGAACTCAGGACCTGGTCACTGTCCCTGAGCTCTTTTTGCTCAAGGCTAGTTTTCTCTTGCCTTGAGCCACAGTACCACTTCAGGTTTTCTGGTTGGAGACCTCTCATGGAGAGCCGGGAGCCGGTGGCTCACGCCTGTAATCCTAGCCACTAAGGATACTAAGATCTGAGGATCATGGTTCAAAGCCAGCCTGGGAAGGAAAGCCCAAGAGGTTCTTATCTCCAATAAACCGCCAGAAAACCAAAAGTGGTGCTCAAGTGGTAGAGTGCTAGCCTTGAGCTGAAGAACTTAGGGACCAGTGCCCAGGCCCAGAGGTCAAGCTCCATGACTGATGAAAAAAAAAAAAAAAAAAAAGAGTATCATGGACTTTCTTGCCTGGGATGGCTTTGAATCTTGATGCTCAGATCTCAGCCTCCTGAGTAGCTAGGATTACAGGTGTGAGCCACCAGCGCCCTACCAGACTTTACCTTTTTAAACTATGTTTTAAGTCCTTATGGTTATGCCAGAGAAGGTCTTGGGCAGTGTGCCATCGTGTCTCCTCTTTTCCAGGACTTAACACTCTTGTTCAAAGAAGAAGAATCAGGCTGAACTTAGTAAGTTCAACTAAAGTACATGGCCTAGTTAAGGCTCTGTGTGTGTGTATGTGTGTGTGTGCCAGTCCTGGGACTTGAACTCAGGGCCTGGATGCTCTCCTTTAGGTTCTTCACTCAAGGCTGGCACTCTGCCACTTGAGTCATAACTCCACTTCTGGCTTTTTGATGATTAGTTGGAGATAAGAGTCTCACAGACTTTTCTGCCTGGGTTGTCTTTGAACTGTGATTGTCAGCCCTCAGCCTCCTCAGTAGTTAGGATTATAGGTGTGAGCCACTGGCTCCTGGCTTTAGTTAGGATTTTGTAGTGTTACTTTGCTTGTATTGAATTGATTCTTCAGTGTTATATGAAGTCCCCACTATTCTCTTTTTTAAACATGGTGGCATTGATTTAAGAAACACAGCATGAAAAGAAGAATAATAGAGTAGGTGGGCTGGGCTATGGCTCTGACTGTGCAAGTGGCTCAAGAGAGACTTGTCAAGCAAGTTCAATGTGGGGGCACTTTCCTACGTAGACCAAATCGCCCTGAGTGGAGGGAGACCTAGCTCATAGGGGCAGGCTTAGCTTCACATCCAGCTACTAGGTATAGGTTTTTTGTTTTAAATCCAAATCAGGCTCCAGAAAAGAAGGTAGGAGGAAGGAGTGGGTGCATGAGCAGCAGAACTGAAAACTGGGCAGGGGGGTCCCCACAACTGTGGCTGAGGTGGCTTGGGACAGGGGAGAATGAGCTTTGAAAGGGTGAGCAGTGGCTA